TGTCCGACTTCAGCTCAGGTCATGATCTCACAGTCTGTGAGTTCGAGCCCCGCGTCCGGCTCTGTGCTGACAGCTCAGGGCCTGGAGCCTGCTTCGGATTCTGTGTCTCCCTCTCTCTCTCTGCCCCTCCCCTGCTCATGCTCTGTCTCTCTCTGTCTCAAAAATGAATTAAAAAATTAAAAAAAATTTATTTATTGTTTAATTTACATCAAGAGGTCTGCAACTTATTAATTTGTTCTTCATTCAGTCTTAATTTCTCCATCATCCACTTATTCACCAAATACTTATTTAGTGCCTGTGAAGTGCCAAGAGCTATGCTAACCCTGAATGGAGTCTAGTTGTGAATCTGGGTAACAAGGAGAAACAGATCAGGAATTCAAGAACAGAAGCAAGCCTCTTCAGTGAAGATTTGGCCATGCTGAGTTTGTTAAGTATGGTCAGCTTCAGAATTTCTCTCTGGGATCTTTTTTTCCCCTGAATGTTCATTTATTTATTTTGAGAGAGAGAGAGAGAGAGAGAGAGAGAGAGTGTGTGTGTGTGTGTGTGTGTGTGTGTGTTCAAGCAGTGGAGGGACAGAGAGAGAGAGAGAGAGAGAGAGAGAGAGAGAGTATTCCAAGCAGCTTCCTTGCTGTCAGCACGGAACCTGACACAGGGCTCGATCCCATGAACCATGAGATCATAACGTGAGCTGAAATCTAGAGTCGGATGCTTAACCAACTGAGCCACCCAGGCGCCCCTCTCTCTGGGATCTTTAAGAATCAACCATCACAAAAAGCCCAGCTTAGAGCAGACACAAATTATAAAGTATACTTTGAGGCATGCCACGTTTTGTTATTAGATACTCATTCTTTTGAGTCAGTCACTGCTGCTGCAAAGGGAAAATTCACAAGGAATTCTTCTACGATCCTTTCACGTACCTGCTCCAAGACCTTCCGTGATCGCCCATGACCCGTAGGAAAAAGCTTGAGGTCTTTCAGATGGCATCCAAACTGGGCACCATCAGAGTTATAATTTGACATTAATCTATATGAATTTTACTAAAGCCTATTTCAGTAAACTGTAAACTATTTTTGTCCATCACTATATCACCAGCATCTGGCACACAGAGGGTATTTAATGAATACATGTTAAATACAAGAGTAAATGAAGGAATACACGAGAGCAATGTATGTTTGCTCTAGAAAAACTGGACTAGATGTCAACATTCATGGATTCTATCATGGCCTCATTCTTGACCTTCCTGGACTCTGTGGACTTGAACCCCAAGACAACCATAGATACAGCCTGGCTTCCCAGAAGCTCTGAGGCCCGGACAAAGGTCAGTAGTCACCTGAGGGCTGCCTCCACACCCCGAGGGCTCTGCTACCAGGGTTTTTTTGTTTGTTTTTGTTTGTTTTTTAAGTTTATTTATTTTTGAGAGAGACAGAGACAGAGAGAGTGAGCAGGGGAGGGGCAGAGAGAGGAAGAGAAAGAATCCCAAGCAGGTGTCACAGTGCCAGAGTGGAGAACGATGTTGGGGCTCAATCTCACGAACTGTGAGATCATGACCTGAGCTGAAATCCAGGCGTCCCTGGAATGACATCGCTTGTTCACCTGACACTCGCCTAGGATTGGACTTTACCCTGGATTCCTGGAGGAATGCATACCTTAGATCCTTTTCTAATATAAACCCCGAGCCCCAAGCAACAAGACTTATTCTATTTTCCTTTCTCAGTCTCCAAGACACCCCATCTGTTATTCTCTACCCATCACTTACACTATTCAATAAACTCCGTTTTTACTTTCTCTGGCTTGCATTTGATTTCTGTGCTGCATGAAGTCAAGGACCCTCTTGGCTGGTCTGGTGGGACCCTCCTCTGGGTTCTCAGACTCAGCCTGCCCGCATCAGACCTGGTTTGGATCCTGATTTGTATGAACCAACTGTAAGAAAATATTATGAGACAGTCGGGAATTTAAACATTGACCAAGTATTTTATTTTTTATTTTATCATTTTGTTAGAAAAAAAAAAA